CCCCAATACACAAATTTTCATCAAAATCGAACAGTATCTAAATTTCCACCAATCAGAAGCCTCCGTGTGGTTGCTATGTGGTTGCTATGGCAACGAAACCTATGCGGTTGAATTCGCAATCCCCTAATATCCCTATATACCAATTTTCATCCAAATCAGACAATATATAAATTTCGACCAATCAGAAGCCTCGTGCTCTGTGTGATTGCTATGGTAACGAAACTTATGCGGTTTTATTCGCAGTCCCCTAATACCCCTATATACCAATTTTCATAAAAATAAAAAAATATTTAAATTTCGACTAATCAAAAGCGCCTCCATTTGGTTGCTATGGCAACGAAACCTATGCGGTTTTATTTGTACGGAAACGAAGCGCAGCAGATAATGACGTTTTTCATTATTCAAGGGGCCATAACTCCGCCAAATGGGGTCCGCTGAAAATGGTCATCGAACTTGGCCGAGCCCTTAATGCAGTTAACCCTGTGACCAAGTTTGAAGAAAATCGGTTAATATTTTCTGCAGTTATTGCACGGAAACGAAGCGTGACAGACAGACAGACAGACCTATATTAATATCCCCCGTTTCTTGGGAAACAAACAATCGTGTTTCACTACCACAAGGGTGATGAATATATCATTACATTATGTATACCGAAATAGAACAATAACACAACCGTGATGATGATAAGGATTATGAGCGATTATTTGTTCGTCTCAATTTCTCGGCTCTCATGTACTTCTTATAAACTTATCTAGAGAAACTCGAGCGCGTGAGGTTAACACAATAATTTATTTCCGCGCTATAATAAATATAATCCAATATGGCACGCTATTTTATAGATAAAGATGAAGCATAAAGTATGATTGAAAGCCAGCGTTTCACGTTATGATACATGTAGTACAGCTATGCAACACAGTTCTGTTCAACCATATCCTGCCATGATGTGCACTAAAGGATTTATGAGAATATGTATGTTTGAACGGAAGTATGTTGTAGAAAATTACAAATGTTAAAAGATCTGTTTCAATCATGATATTTACTTTCTTTACTAATTTCATATCACGTGTCATGTTGTTTTTTGTATTTTATTTTTTGTTTTGTGTTTTGTTCATTAAATTTTAGATGGACTGTTTCACTAATTGCTGGAATAGCTATTCTTGCGGAAACAAGGTCATGTTTACTATGGTTACCAGCCCCGTCAGACAACGATCGATAACCGTTCGGAAATTTTCATAAAAATGACGACAATTTATCTCACGGTGTCACTTTGATATTTCGTTACAAATGACATATGGACACGGTCAAATATCGTCGTGACCAGCATTAGCTAAAAGATAATTATCCTCTAAAAGTCGGACACAGAAATCCATTTGGTTTATAATCTCACAGACATATCCACAGTGGAATTCATAATAAGAAATTATTTCAACAGCATACATAATCAAGGGTTGGCCCTGGAGAGTAATTCAATTGCACGATTAGTCTATATTTATTACACACATATGGTGTAACTTGTGTGACGTCATTCGGAGCTGCTGTGCTGACGGGAAGTTCGTTGGCAAGCTGAGATCTACATTGAACCGCAGACTATGGCATGTTTCTAGGTTAATCGGTGGCTAAATCAACTGAACAATTATTTATATTTGTAGGCATGTTGGAGAAGCCAACTAAATAAATTGACTAAAACAGAAGCATATTGCACATGTATACTAGTTAACGATATCAAACGATTCCAGACTATTCTGGTCAGAAGAGATAACACAGTTTGGTCAGAAGAGATTACACAGTTTGGTCAGGAGACATCACACAGTTTGGTCAGAAGAGATCACACAGTTTGGTCAGAAGATATCACACAGTTTTGTCAGCAACGATCGTACAGTTTGGTCAGTAAAGATCGTACAGTTTGGTCAGTAAAGATCGTACCGTTTGTTCAGAAGAGATCACACAGTTTGGTCAAAAGAGATCACACAGTTTGGTCAGAAGACATCACACAGTTTAGTCAGCAACGATCGTACAGTTTGGTCAGTAAAGATCGTACCGTTTGGTCAGAAGAGATTACACAACTTCGTCAGACGAGATCACACAGTTTGGTCAGAAGAGATCACACAGTTTGGTCAGAAAAGATCACACAGTTTGGTTAGAAGAGATCATAAGTTTGGTCAGAAGAGATCGTACAGTTTTGTCAGAATAGATCACACAGTTTGGTCAGAAGAGATCACACAGTTTGGTCAAAAGAGATCATACAGTTTGGTCAGAAGAGATCACACAGTTTGGTCAGAAGAGATTACACAACTTCGTCAGACGAGATCACACAGTTTGGTCAGTAAAGATCGTACAGTTCGGTCAGTATAGATTGTACAGTTTGGTCAGTAGATATCGTAGAGTTTGGTCAGAAGAGATCACACCGTTTGGTCAGAAGAGATCACACAGTTTGGTCAGAAGAGATCGCACAGTTTGGTCAGAAGATATCACACAGTTTGGTCAGTAAAGATCGTACAGTTTGTTCAGACGAGATCTAACAGTTTGGTCAGAAGAGATCGTACAGTTTGGTCAGAAGAGATCGTACAGTTTGGTCAGAAGAGATCGTACAGTTTGGTCAGAAGAGATCGTACAGTTTGGTCAGAAGAGATCGTACAGTTTGGTCAGAAGAGATCGTACAGTTTGGTCAGAAGAGATCGTACAGTTTGGTCAGAAGAGATCGTACAGTTTGGTCAGAAGAGATCGTACAGTTTGGTCAGAAGAGATCGTACAGTTTGGTCAGAAGAGATCGTACAGTTTGGTCAGAAGAGATCGTACAGTTTGGTCAGAAGAGATCGTACAGTTTGGTCAGAAGAGATCGTACAGTTTGGTCAGAAGAGATCGTACAGTTTGGTCAGAAGAGATCGTACAGTTTGGTCAGAAGAGATCGCACAGTTTGGTCAGAAGAGATCGCACAGTTTAGTCAGAACAGATCACACAGTTTGGTAAGAAGAGATCACACAGTTTGGGCAGAAGAGATCACACAGTTTGGTCAGAAGAGATCGTACAGTTTGGTCAGAAGAGATCGTACAGTTTGGTCAGAAGAGGTCGTACAGTTTGGTCAGAAGAGATCGCACAGCTTGGTCAGTAGGCTTCACACGGTATAGTCAATGCATATCGTGCAGTTTGGTCAGTAGGGAACACACGGTTTGGGCAGTAGATATCATGAAGTTTGTTCAGACGAGATCACAAAGTTTTGTCAGTACAAATCCCACAGTCTGGTCAGAAGAGATCATAAAGACTGGTCTTGGCAGATCATATAGTCTGGTCAGTAGAGATCATACAGTTTGGTCAGAAGAGATCGTACAGTTTGGTCAGAAGAGATCATACAGTTTGGTCAGAGGAGATCGTACAGTTTGGTCAGAAGATATCACACAGTTTGGTCGGAAGAGATCGTACAGTTTGGTCAGAAGAGATCTCACAGTTTGGTCAGAAGAGATCACACAGTTTGGGCAGAAGAGATCACACAGTTTGGTCAGAAGAGATCACACAGGTTGATCAGAAGAGATCCCACAGTTTGGTCAGAAGAGATCATACAGTTTGGTCAGAAGAGATCGTACAGTTTGGTCAGAAGATATCACACAGTTTGGTCGGAAGAGATCGTACAGTTTGGTCAGAAGAGATCTCACAGTTTGGTCAGAAGAGATCACACAGTTTGGGCAGAAGAGATCACACAGTTTGGTCAGAAGAGATCACACAGTTTGATCAGAAGAGATCACACAGTTTGGTCAGAAGAGATCGCACAGATTGGTCAGTAGGGTTCACACGGTATAGTCAATGCATATCGTGCAGTTTGGTCAGTAGGGAACACACGGTTTGGTCAGTAGATATCATGAAGTTTGTTCAGACGAGATCACACAGTTTCGTCAGTACAAATCCCACAGTCTGGTCAGAAGAGATCATAAAGACTGGTCTTGACAGATCATATAGTCTGGTCAGTAGAGATCATACAGTTTGGCCACTAGATATCAGGCAGTTTGGTCAGTAAATATCATACAGTTTGGTCAGTAGATATCATGCAGTTTGATCAGTAGAGATCGTACAGCCAAGTCAGTATAGATCATACAGTCTTGTCATTACAGATCATACAGTCATACAGTCTTGTCATTACAGATCATACAGTCATACAGTCTGTTCAGTAGAGATCATACAGTCATACAGTCTGTTCAGTAGAGATCATACAGTCATACAGTCTGTTCAGTACAGATCATACAGTCATACAGTCTGTTCAGTACAGATCATACAGTTTGGTCAGTAGAGATTATATACAGTCTGGTCAGTACAGATCATACAGTCTGGTCAGTAGAGATCATACAGTCTTGTCAGTACAGATCATACAGTCTGGTCAGTAGAGATCATACAGTCTTGTCAGTAGAGATCATACAGTCTTGTCAGTAGGGATCACACGGTTTGGTCTGTAGATATCGTGCAGTTTGGTCAGTAGGGATCACACGGTTTGGTCAGTAAATATCATACAGTTTGGTCATTAGATATCATACAGTTTGGTCAATAGGGAACACACGGTTTGGTCAGTAGGGAACACACGGTTTGGTCAGTAGGGATCACACGGTTTGGTCATTAGATATCATACAGTTTGGTCAGTAGGGATCACACGGTTTGGTCTGTAGATATCGTGCAGTTTGGTCAGTAAATATCATACAGTTTGGTCATTAGATATCATACAGTTTGGTCAGTAGGGAACACACGGTTTGGTCAGTACTTTGTAGTATGCTGCTATACGAGGGTTTGGCCAGTGTCGTTTTTTTCCAAATGGGATAATGTCCATCAAAAGATAGTTATTCTTTTAAATACATGTAAGTTAAAATTAATCTCAAGATACATTTTATTAATTAATATATACGGACTTGCATCGATAACCGTAGTTCCATGTATATTATATAGAGCGTATCGTGATTGTCAACACGTACGGTATCATGTTATGCTAGTCTCACGATGAACGCAGGCTGGTGCTATAATATAATGATATGCGCTGCATTGTCGGCGTTATGTAGCACACATACTAAAGGCCACGCGGCCACGTGCTTATGTTGACGTATGCATACGTGGTAATATGGAAATGAATTGGATGTATCTCAGAAGTAGGAGAAAGTTTTTTGAAGGAAATTATGTGGATTATTAATATCTTCCATATCTCAAGCAGTCCTCGTGGATAAGATTATCTAGTGTTATTAACTCTAAGTTGGCTGTACGGAGACTGGAGAGACCCGACCCGGCGAGAAGAATTTGTAGAAACACTTTAGTATTTTGATCTCCCACGAAGTGACCCTTGAACCTTATGACGATAGTAGAACTCCAAACCAATCACAAAGCCCAATACATAAAATACAAGGCCTCAGGTACGCCTATTGAACAGCAGAGAGGGGGTTGTACGCAACCAACTTTTGTGAATCGGTTTACGTTTGTAGGTTAGCCGAGCTTCTTTGGCTTACATTACTAGTATGTAGTATGGCTACAACCATGTGTGTTAATGCGTTCGATCGTCCACGGACGGCGGTACTGTAGGCCGAACCGTCCCCAGGATACGTTGGGCACGTTGTAAACATAGCCATGTGATTGAAACTGTAGTACGGAGTCGGGTCAATACCGAACGTGCGGAACTGTTGGAGACCACTATACCGGTGCTCCGTCAGATAGCGAGACAGCGCTTTAATCCAAGCCACCCTACCGTGGCATACGTATATATAGTGTGTTGTGTCGCCAGAACGGGTCACATATTTACCTAGTAGTTTATGGATCCATAAGTATATGCATTCATGCCTGGGCTGGGAAGTTAGTCAGCTGTCAGCTACGGGCTTCTGTGTTTCCGAGTAACAGTTCTTAGCGGAGCTTCCTATCGGAAACAGCAAACTGGATTCGCTCCGCCAAAGTTTTTCCTCCAAACTATTCCCATGTTCATCATCGTCCACATGTAGGTCTAGGCGGAATAAAGGAAAGACCAAAGGCGGTTTCAGGAAGATGTCGGTCGACCCGGACTGTGGTGACAGGCAGTCTCCGGAATTGTCGGAGGAATATTCCCGGATGGAGCGTTGGATGGACGACCACCCGGAATTTGTCCACGACTACTTTGCCCGGAAAGCCAAGAAGAGCATGGTAGACGGCTGGCTTCTGGCTCATGCCTTCAACCACAGTCCTGGGCTCCATATCCAGTCGGATAACAATTCCAGTGATTCAAACTCCAGGAACAACTCCGGAACAAATACACCGGTGCGGAAAATCTCAGCTCAAGAATTCGATAAAGGTGATACCCTGGACCCTATAGTGTCGACAGTGGATGGGCTACCCACATTTCTGGGTCCCTCGTCTGTCCCGTCCAGCCAGAGCAGTACCAATAACAAGTGCCAACGTCGCTCGCGCAGTGAGCTGAAGGCGTTGGACGAAAAGGAACTAATGTACGAACTGGTGATTGACATATGTAACGACCTGGATGTCACCAGTCTCTGTCACAAAATACTCCAAAACGTGTGTATACTCATAGACGCCGATAGGTGCTCCCTCTTCCTCGTGCACGGCAGTGGTACGGAGGAGAAGCACCTTGTGTCCAAACTGTTTGACGTTAACGCTGAAACGTCGTTAGAAGAAGTGTCGGAAAATCGTGAGAGTATCCGAATAGCATGGGGGACGGGAATAATCGGATATGTGGCGAAAACGGGAGAACCGCAAAACATTCCGGATGCATACAAGGTAAGCTTAGGATACTAGGTTATGTTGACGGTCGAGTAGATGTAACGTAATCACTAAATACATTCCGGTACGTCATTTGGCCCGGAGGCTTTAGCGAGAAACCATCCGGGCAGGAATTAATGGCAGTCACCGGAACGTGTAAACACGGGTTTTATAGTGATCACTGTATATCTCGTTTGTTTACATGTAGCACGGATAGAAGACAGAGTGATTGTGGTTACTGGGATGTACGCTAGGATAATCTTACATAGGTCCTACCAAACCTGACAACGAACTGTCGAACAAAACGTTCACCGCGACTCAATGCTAAGAAACGGTTGATATTTCTAAGGTAGCAGACGAAAGCAAGTCTATGCTGAACTTTACGTGTTACTTTATACTGCAGCGACATGTACAGGTGCAGGTCACACTGACTTGCTCAAGTAACAAGGAAGCCTAGGCTTGAACTCGGGAGTTCATCTAAGTCGAAACAGAACGTGTTACTGTGTCAGTCCTATATATAGCTCACTGTACAATAGTCAGTAAATAGTCCTTCACGGATGTAAATCAAATTTTGACAACATAATCGCCCAGTTCTAAGTTAACCAATTATGTATACTGTATGTGCCAAATAAACAACACACAACTATTGCAGTATAACATGCTAAAGTTTAACTGGGTCAATCATTAATAAAACCACGTATGACTTTGTCGGTAATAAATAAACAATATATAACTCTCTGTGCTGAATATATGTATAACCGTGTCACTGCTGAATAAGCAATTTATAATTGTTAATGATAAAGGAATCATCTATATAATTTAACCATGTATAAATGTCTGCTAAATACAGTGTATAGGTATATCTCTGTCGATGCTGAATATACCATATCTGGATCTGTACGATGTAGGGCCTTCTCAGGCATAAACACATATATAACTGCATGTTATAGAAATAAATACTGCTAAATACAATGTATAAACTGTGTATACATGTATAACTATCAGTAATAAATAAACATATATAACTGTCTGTGCTAAATACAATGTATAAACTTTGTATACATGTATAACTATCAGTAATAAATAAACATATATAACTGTCTGTGCTAAATGCAATGCGTATGTATATCAAACAATAATAGAAATAAATATACCATATTTAACCCTGTGCTAAATACAATTTGTATAACTGTCAGTTTTAAATAAACCATATAAATCTAACTAAACCATGTATAACTGTCAGTAATAAATAAATGTATATAACTGTCAGTGCTATTTACAATGTATATACCATATATATTTGTTAAAGAAATAAATAAACAATATATGATTCTGTGCTAAATACAATGTATATAACTGTCAGTTATGGATAAACCATATACATTTTACCATGTATAACAGTATATATCAGTAATATACAATGTATATGTAAATATCTGTCGATGCCAAATAAACTATATATTACTGTTACTGTAATAAATAAACCATATATAGATGTGCTAAATAAATGTATATCTGTGTCGGTGCTAAATAAACCATATATAACTAAATAAACCATATATAACTCAATAAACCATATGTAACTAAATAAACCATATACATGTTTATCTGTGTCGATGCTAAATAAACCATATATAACTAAATAAACTATGTACATAATTATATATCTGTGTCAGTGCTAAATAAACCATATATAACTAAATAAACTATATATAACTAAATAAACCATATATAACTAAATAAACCATGTACATGTATATCTGTGTCGGTGCTAAATAAACCATATATAACTAAATAAACCATATATAACTGAATAAATCATATATAACTAAATAAACCATGTACATGTATATATGTGTCGATGCTAAATAAACCATATATAACTAAAGAAAACATGTACATTTATATCTGTGTCGATGCTAAATAAGCCATATATAACTAAATAAACCATATATAACTAAATAAACCATATACATGTATATCTGTGTTGGTGCTGAATAAACCATATATAATGAAATAAACCATATACATGTATACCTTTGTCGCTGCTAAATAAATAGTTTATATCTCTCAGTGCTAAATTAACCAGGGCCCGTATTCATGAAACCGTTCTCATGCTCAAACCCAGATTATGTGCTCAAGCCCAATTTCTTGTGCCAGTGGTAAATACGTATTAACATAATTTCGTCAATATTATGTAAACAATAATCCGAATACTGTTTTCAATGTTTACACTTGACTTTTTAACCATATAACATGATTTAAGGGAGGTACAAGAAAGTTAGTTTGAGCACAGAATTCATGCTTGAGCATGAGAATAGTTCCATGAATACGGGCCATGTTTGACCAAACAATGCCTAAATATGTTATTGTTAAATAAAAATTGTGTTAATGTAGGGTGCTGAAAAAACAATGTATACCTGTGTCAGAACTAGATAAATCCTGAATATCTGTGTCGGTGCTAAATAAAGCAATGTAAATACATGTTTTACTGTGTAGCAAAATATATTCCATGAATAGCTGTGAAAACGACACATGATGGACACATCTGTATATATATACGTATCGCACTGAATGTTATTAACATATATATGTGTGCGTGTCACTGATAAATATACAACATATAACTGTTTCCATGTTCTATACATACCAGATATAAATAAAATCATTTCAACAAAGAGTAGTGTCAATTTAATTGATGAATTTATTTTGATCGCTGAATTTACCGAGTATTGTAAATCATATTTAAAATAAAACCGTTCGTGTTCTAAATAAAAGAAATTGGTTAAATACATATTCAGAATGTTTGTAACGCTAGATTTCCATATCTCTTCTTAGATAACCGAGCTATGACGTACAAAACCGTTAGTGGTAGCATTTATAATGATGATTAAAGGGAATTTTCTAATTTTGTGAAGTTATGAGGTGGTAACTCCGGTTGAGCACGAGAAAAAATAAATGGGTGTCTTTATTTTTTATATATTATGTAAAAGAAACCATTACAGTGATTAACATAAGTTTATGTGCGTAACAATGATAAAATTTGAAGTATAAAGTGTCGACAAAATCTCTAAACAAAGTAGTGCACCGTACGTTGTAATAATTCATCTGTTGTAACTGGTATATTACAATGACGCTATATTGCCTCTATCTGCTTTAAGATAGTACGACACTTCTCTATTTTTTTGTGATACAATAGTTTGTCACAAAGCCCGTACAAAGTATTGTACCATAGCGTTTTGTTAGCAATAAACACAGGTAACATATTGCACTATGTCATTGAATAAAAGATTAAAAACAATAAACGTTATTTTGCAACAAATTTGATAATCCTCGACCTTCCTTCCGTATTTAAAAAAAAAGTATATGGTTAAAAGAAATAAGGTACGATAATAAAGTATACCAATAATTTATATGAATAAGATAAATTTAGTAAACTAACGAAGTATATTGATAAAATAAAGTATACTGATAGATGACAAGCATACTAATACAATTACTGTGATAAAAAACGAACACAAAACAAATACTACTAGAAGTAACAATGTGTCTGCAGAAATAATTGTACTTTTATAAAATATATATCCTTTACACTCCCGTCTGATAAGTTCATAATAAAGAAAGTCACCTGTAGCGTCTGTGAGTGTATTGGACATGTTACTTTATCAAGCTGAATGTAATTCATAGTAATTAATAATTACACGGTCTGTTGAAAAATATTTCCATTGTTGGGCGTGGTGTGAACTGCTTTGTGTGGTTTTGTGGTGTGACGTCAGCGTGCGTGTGAGATGGCGTGTAGATAGGACACGCTTACTTTTTGTTTCGTTAAGCTCAGTATTTTTACTCACTAAGTACGTAAAACTTTACTCATCATGCGTGTTTAGCTCAATCATTCACTCATCCTGCATGTTTGATTGTTGGTAATTTCCTCTCCTGCATGTTTGATTATGTAATTTACTCACAACTGTATGTTGAACTCTGTCATTGACTCATTATGCATGCTCAGCTCATTTATTAACTCACTGTGCATGCTTTGTATAATTAACTAAATCATTTACTCACAATTTGTGTTTAACTCCGCGCTCTTGGTGTAAACGTGTTGATGAAATATGTTGATTCAAATCTATTTCAATAAGAACGACACGATTGTTTTGAAATAATATGTAAATAAACCTTGTTTTATTTGTTTGAGAACTATATTTTAGCTGTGTATTGATATACATGTACATATACAATCACAGACAGAGGTGGTATGTATACACAACCTCTCGTTATTTGGACGGAGTAAGAATCCTGAGAGTTTGACAGAGATGTACTCGGTCTGACGCATCTTGGTCATTCGATCATTGTAGAGGAACCATTATATAAGTCTTGTGTCATGTATGTCATAACGCGGTTTAGGTGACGTCACTGTGACGATAGTTTTATTGAGTGATGTATTTGATACTATACAGCATCGTTTGATGACCTTCACTGTCTACGTCACACTGGTCAGCTCTCAGTAACACATGTCGTTGACAAGGTCAGACACGTGTGCTGGACGGCGGGACATGTAGGGACACATATTGGAAATATAGATTGTAAGTCCGGCAAAAGTTTTTACTACAACTGACATAGGAATTGTCAATTCGCTATAAACGATCTCCGTTGTTTTTGTTATCGTGTGTGATCGCTTGCTGGAGAATAACTACTTGTTATTAAATACATATTTGGATATCTGTATGACTAGTTGTTCCACAGTCCTTTCTCTCTATATGGGAGTTGTGTTATTCTTCTGTCTATGGTGAACCAATCCTTCCATTGGTGTCTTTTCGCAATGTCTATAAGAACTGTTCCATAGCTTTTCTGTCTGTTCCGTGGATATATAGGGTTCTTTAAGTGGTGTTTTCTGTTGTTGTGGGTAGCTGTTCTATAGATATATTCTCTAGCTATGGGGAGCCCTTCCATGTATATCTTCACTAGTTGTGAATATCTTAACAAGCTATGGGGAGCTATTCAGTGCATATATTCGCTAGCTG